TAGGTTGTGTTCTGATGCAATATGGGAAGCTCATAGCTTATGGGGTCAGACAGTTAAAGAATCATGAGAAGAATTACCCCACCCATGACTTGGAACTTGCCGCAATCATACGCGCCTTGAAAACCTGGCGCCATTATTTATACGGAGAGACCTTCCAGATCTATACCGATCATAAGAGTCTGAAGCACATATTCACTCAAAAGAATCTCAACATGCGTCAGAGAAGGTGAATGGAACTACTTAAATACTATGATTGTGAGATCTTGTATCATCTGGGTAAGGGCAACGTGGTGGCAGATGCCCTCAGCAGGAAAAGTGCAGGTATCTTAGCCCATTTAATGGTTTCAGAACGCATGCAAACTGGGGCTACACAACAGGTTCTGCTTCAGGACCTGAAGAGAGTCGCATGTTTGGGTTGTCTGACCATCCAGCCTGAGTTAATACAGAGAATAAAGGAAGCCCAGTCAGTCGACCCCGCCCTGGTAACCCACAAGAATGATGCAGAACAGGGAGTGAGCTCAGAATTCTGAATCTCTACCGATGGGTTACTCCGTTTTCAGGACAGGGTGTGTGTCCCAGACGACAGTGAGTTAAAGAGAGACATCATGACAGAGTCCCATAGCTCCAAGTTTGTCATGCATCCCATAGACACCAAAATGTACCAAAGCATGCGACTCCGGTTTTGGTGGAATGGGATGAAGAGGGACATAGCTGGCTTTGTATCTAAATGCTTGGTATGTCAGCAGGTCAAGACAGAGCATCTACACCCAGGCGGGTTACTTCAGCCCTTACCGATTCCGGAGTGGAAGTGGGAACATATCGCCATGGACTTCGTAACGGGATTACTCAAGGCACGTTCAGGACATGACGCCATCTGGGTAATTATTGACCGGCTTACCAAGTCTTCCCACTTCTTAGCCATCAGGATAACCGATCTCTTGGACAATTTGGCAAGAATGTATATCCGAAAAATAGTCAGATTGCATGGAGTTCCAGTGACAGTGGTATCCGACAGGGACCCTAGGTTCACTTCTCGGTTTTTGAGTAGCTTTCAGCAGGTCATGGGAACAAAGCTGTCTCTTAGGCCTTCTATCCTCAGACTGATGGACAATCCGCACACTTTAGGATATTCTCCGAGCTTGTGTCCTTGACTCTGGGGGCCATTGGGACGACCATCTACCCCTGATAGAATTTACCTACAACAATAGTTACCAAGCGAGCATTGGCATGGCTCCGTATGAGGCATTATATGGGCGCCCATGCATATCACCGATTTGTTGGGAAGAAGTGGGCGACAGAAAATTGTTCGGCCCGGAGTTGGTGGAGGAGACAACGTCTAAAATAGTTAAAATTAGAAAGAACATTCAGACGGCTCAAAGCAGACAGAAGAGTTATGCGGACACCTGAAGGAGAGATTTAGCGTTTGAACAAGGCGACCGGTTGTTCCTTAAGGTCACTCCTTTCAAGGAAATTAGTAGGTTCGGCGGAGCTGCCGTGCCGGAATTTCGAAATTGGCCAAAAGGGCCTTGGGTCTGATTTGGAATTTTTTTGGGGACATGTGCAGGTACCGGTGTTTCAGTTTTCGGAGAAAAATTTAGGGAATCTAGGGATTGCCCGTAGGCGCAGTGAGAACCCGATTTCAGATTCTGAAAACAAGTAAAGATCTCTCACCCTATTTCCTATCACGGCATTAAAGCCTAATAAATGATAAACGGTATTTTATGAATTAATAGATATGTATAATTGATTAAGGTTGCCAATGGAGCCCAAATCTGATATATTTTCGGTCAGGTGTTATTTGATTTATTTTGCAGTTTTGAATGCAGTACGGTGCCTGATGTGTTTATTCTATGGTTTCGTATGCGTGAATCACGGTTTCATTTATTATACTTTGAATTATTGTGAACCCGATATTGTGTTGCCTTGTTTGGTGTTCATTACTGGTTTACGTGTTTGTGTTTGATTGGATAATTGAGATTAAGAAAAATGGTAAAAAAGTATGTGAATTGATAATGGATAATGTCGACAGGCTCACTAGATATCCTGGGAGATGGTGGATGGACCGGGTCCATAGGGAACCCTACCGGGAATGTGGTCTCTCATATCGGACGGAGTATGGAGACTTTATGTGTTTTAGCGCCCATACCGGACGGGGTATGGGGACGACCCGTTTTACCCTCATACCGGACGGGGTATTGAGGTTTATGGTTTTGGTGCCCATATCGGACGGGGTTTTGGGACGGCCCTGGAATTAAGTTATTAATGTGAATGGTTCATGTATAGCGGGGACCCCTTATGGATCCCAATAGATACTAGCAGGTTAATAAAAAAAAGAGGTAATTGTTGTCTGATGATTGAAATATAAAAGCATAATATGTATTATGTTGCAGAGTGTGCGTGATCTTATGATATTTATGATGTAATTGTTTTCATAAATTATTTTTATAAATCTCACCGAGGTAGGTGGACAGTAAAAGATTTTATTATTGATAAATGAGTTTATTATAAATTATACTCTATTGGTCGTTTTTGTTTTCTACCAACTTTTACTTATGTGACAGTGAGATAGTGTGATATCTTTACTAGGATAGTGTAACTCATTTCTTACTTAACCATTTCAGATAAGGAGGATTTGGTTCTCGAGCCCATTCTGCAGAAAGACGGCGAGTAGAAGCCAAAAAATTTATTAGTTTTCCTTACAGCATTCATTCAAAGTATTTCCTTTAAGTTAGTTTATTCTTTCATACTTTGATTCGTTTTGGTTATTGTGTAAGGGATGTTAATCATAATCTATTTTATTTCGCTTCCGCACTTAGAATAAATATATATACATTTCTTGTTAATTTTCAGGGCCGTTACAGATCACAATTTCATGCATAATTAGTAACATAAAACATATCATAAATTCGTATTCGTTAACAATAATTAATCATTACTGTTTTTCGTTTCACCAGCCTACTAGTATCCATGAGGATCCATAGGGGTGTCCTCGCTACACGTGAACTATTTTCCTTAACAATCTTAATTCAAGAGCCGTCTCCATACCCTGTCCAGGATGAGCACCAAGACATTAAACCTCAATACTCCGTTCGATATGAGGGTAAAGTGGGTTGTCCTCATACCCCATCCGGTATGAGCGCCAAATGACCAAGTCTCCATACCCCGTCCAGTATGAGACAACGTTTACGGTAGAGTTTCCTATGAACCCGGTCCATCCACTATTTTCTAGGATATCTAGTGAGCCTGTCACCTTATCCCTTATTAGAGCACATCCATTCCTATTTGTCCTTAGTCTCTGTTACCAAATCAAATATAAATATATAAATAAGTAAACATGCATCCGACAATGCAATTATATCTTAGATCCTAAAATCAAATAGTGGTCAAGTAAAACAATAATACATGCATTTAAACCATACAATATATAAACCAGATATCATCATGCGTTTAAACTGTAAAATAAATTAACAGAAATCAATAGGAAATGTTGTCAAAATTAGGCTCTATTAACAATCCGTAATTAATTAAGCATATCTATTTAATTTGTACAAAATAAACCGTATTATTTTTTATTTAAACTTCAATTCCATGATAGGAAATAGGGTGAGGGGTCCTTATTTGATTCGACGGCGAAAACTAGATAGTTACTGCGTTTACGGGTGGTCCCTAGGTTCCTTGAATTTTTTTTCGGGAACTGAAATGCGCTTACGGTACCTACAAGTATCCCAAATAAATCCAAAAATCAGACCCAGGGCCTACTCGACCAATTTCAGAATTCTGGCACGGCGGCTCTGTTGTGCTCCAGCGACAGGCGGCGGCGATCCGCCTCGGGTTGGCTGTTTTTGGGTGCTTTCGGCCGAATTCAGCCGAACTTGCACCGATTCTTG